TTCTGGGAATAGAGATGCCATTAGCAGTAACAGTGAAGATAGGAGGGAAAACACATCTGGGAGGGAGAAATGGGGGAGTCACATTTAGAAAAGTTGAGTTTGAGGCCAATGCCTGCAAACACAGATATGTAGCAGGCAGGGAGGTGGCAGAAAGAGGCGGTGAAGCCTGAGGAACCAATCAGGTGATATGGAAATAAAGGGGCAAAGACAGAATCCTGGTGACCATGAACATTTAGGAGATAAGGGAGTCGGGAGAGAAGTTTGACTGTCCAGACCAGAGGACTCAGATAGTACTGTGGCATGGAGACCACCGGAAGAAAATCGAGAAGAAAGAGAGAGAGTGATGTGTCAGATCCAGCCAAGAGAGGGTGATTTTGTGGAAACAGTTTTAAGTGGGTGCTGGTCTGCAAGCCAGATTGCAAGGGTGGGCGGGGGCATTACTGGATACTTGGTTGAAGTGTTTGACAGTGAGGGAGGTTTGAGAAGCTATGCTGTCTTAAGAGGGAGGGAGATAACTTTTGAGAGAGCCAGGCTGATTCCAGGGCAGGTCTGAGGTTGCCCAGAGGGAAAGATAATTGATGCAAAAATTAATGCACCAGTGGCCTAGAGGAGGCAGCATACCAGGGGAGGAAACACAAGACAGAGAAAGGGAATGATCGTCTTTGAAAAGGAGCAGAGAAAGCTTAATGGGCAAAGACACAGAGAATCATGAAGACGCAGAGAGGGGAAGCTAAGGGAGCCGTGCTGGTGACTTTGATCTTCTTTGTAACATAGGAAGTGTCATTGTTTGCCGCAAATGATGGATGGGGCTTAAAGACTTGAAGAGGTGGGAAAGGGTTCAGAACAGCCCTATTGGGACAGCCAAGAAGAGATTTAATTCTTAAAAGCCTTTTTGGCGCATAATACATTTCCATTGGTTAAGACATCGTGTAGCTCAGGAGAAGGGACTGGAGGGAAGAACACTGGATGAGGTGTGGGGACATTCAAGTGTCATTTTCTGCTCCTCCATTAGCTAATTAATATATTGGACATGCCACCTGGCCTCTTGCAGCCTGGGCTTCTCCTGCTACAAAGAAAGAGGATTATAATAGATCTTCCATTGTCTCTTTCAGCAGGAACATTCTAAGAGTCTATTAAGTTGCTTACTCGTTAGCAGAGATTGGTTTATCTGATTAAAACCCTTCATTAGCTATAGTCAGAGAGCAGAGCTTTGAGGAATTGAGACCAGGAACAATAAGGAATCGAGCATGTGCATGTATGTGAGCATATGTGTGCATGCAAACAGGTGCTCTTTCTGAGAGTAGATTTTAGCATTTGAGCAGGGGATGGAAAGACTAGCTACACGAGTACAACTTGCTCTACGAGACGGAACCCCAGATGATGAGATGGCATAAAAAGAGGTACAGAAGGATGCCAAAGAGAGGCTGTGCAACTTCCAAGCTTTGCCTGGGGCTGGTCCCAGTCTCCATGTTTCTGTGTTAAAGCCTCGATGCCCAGGAATGAGCTGAGACATGTCACCCATTGTTGGTTCAGAATGTCTATCCTTGGGTAGGAGATTAAGCCTGAGAGGTCATGTTTAATACCTTAAGACCAACCCCACCTTGGTCCTTGACCAAGCAAGTTTAGTCCTGCCTTGTTGATGTACAATGACTCTGCTGAGAACTGGAGGTATGTTTGAGAAAACGGTGTTTTAATTTTGCTCTGTTCTGCTCATTTTCATCTAACACTTCATCCACCAAAACCCACACCTCTTCTGACTAGAGGATCAGAGATGCCCCCATCCCCCCATAGCTGTCCAGCACTGCCATGGTGAGTCTTGTGGGCCGGCAACTCCACAGGAGAAGGCTCCAGCATGCCCCTCTTCCTCAAGAGCCCTCAGGCTGTAGCAGTGGGCAATGTCTTTGCCTGGAGGTACTGTCCTATCTATAACCTGCCCTCCTATAAAACTGTGGTTCATCCTTTGCGTTCCAACAGCCAAATTTCAGTACACATAGAAGCCAAAGAATCTGGAGATGCTAACAATCGATGAGGAAAAGCACCAGCAAAGAGGAGTATGCATATTTGTCTGGGTTTTGTGTGCAGGTCATTAGCAGCACCAAAACATCACCAGGTTTACCAACTGTGAGTACCGGCTGTGTCTATGGAGGCATCATGTGCCCAGGCCACAGAAAATGGTGAAATTCCAGGAGACTGCACAAGCCATAACTAGCAGTGCATATAGATTAAAACTGATGCCCTCAAGTTCAGATGTTTTCAGACCAAGTATTAAAACACAGTGCTCTGCTTCCTCCCAAGGGGAGGCATTGACTCTTCCCCCAAGGCACAAACAGTATTATTTAAGGCTTACCCATACCCTGTCAGTTTCTCAAGAGTCATGATTCACCTTAAGCTGAGTACATTCCAGGACTGTCTTAAATCCACTGCACGAAGTTATTCAGCCCTTTGAGAGTTATTCAGGGACCTCTAAGGAAATGGAAGTGAGGTAGAAATGCCGATTTAGATATCTGATTACTGAGATGGTGATGATGGGTGGGAAAACTGAGCTGGATCAAGACCTGACTCTTACCAGCTCTCAGACTGCTTCAAAGTAGATCAGATGCATCTCAAAGAAGCCTCCACCACTCCATTCCATCCCCAAAAAGCAACTTTTGTTCACCTCCTAATTCTTTATCCTAATAAGAAGAATAATTTCCCAGTGCAAAACACTAGTTTTGTTTTTAAACACAACTTCACAACTGCCATGTTTTCTCCCAACTCTACACACTGCCTCCAGAAATAACTTTACAACAAAGATTCAAGCAATTCACATGAGGCAAACAAATATAAGATAGCATATAATATTTCTAATCCAATAAAGTTATTTCTTCTCCTAATAGGTTATCAAAATAAATACTCTGCCACCTGTAGCATGTCATACACATTCTGCAGAGTGGTGGCTCTTGGTCCAGCTTTATACCTTCTCAAGCGCAGTACACTCTCTACTGTAACCCCCTTGTATTAGCTAGCACTGCCATAACAACATATCATAGACTGGATAGCTTTTTAAAAGGGCATTTTTTTACTCACAATGCTGGAGGCTGGAAATCTGAAATCAAGGGGCTGGCAAATTTAATTTCTGGGGAGGGCTCTCTTCTTGGTTTGCAGATGGCTGCCTTCTGTGTCCCCACATGACCTCTTCTCTTGATGTGTGTATATAGAGAGAGAGATAGAAAACAAACTCTCTGGTGGCTCTTCTTATAAGGACACTAATCCTACCAGATTAGAATTCCATCCTTATGACCTCATTTAACCTTTTTTGGTTTTTTGTTTGTTTGTTTTTGGAAACAGGGTCTTACTCCTATGCCCAGGCTAGAGTGCAGTGGCATAATCACTTGTCATTGCAGCCTTGACTTTCTGGGCTCAGGCAATCCTCCCACCTCAGCCTCCCAAGCAGCTGGGACGATAGGCAAGCACCACCATGCGCAGCTAATTTTTTGTATTTTTTTTTGTAGAGATGGAGTTTTGCCGTGTTGCCAATAGTGGTCTTGAACTCCTGGGCTCGAGCGATCCACCCATCTCAGCCTCCCAAACCTCTGGGATTACACGCATGAGCCACAGCACCCAGACTCTTTAATTTTAACTACTTTCTTAGAGGTCCTGTCTCCAAACACAACCACACTGGATGTTAGGGCTTCAGCACATGAATTTGGGAAGAACACAATCACTCAGTCCATAACGCCCTCTTTCCAGAACAGCAAATCCTAGTGCAGAGTCCCATGCATACTCAGTCTCTTCCATGTTATAAATGTGTTTCTGTCCTCTGCAAACCTGAAGTCCCTCTTTAGTGACACGCAATTCTGAATGAGGTGTTCAGCACCATGACCTTGGTCAGCTTTCAAAGGGGACAACGAGAGGAATGAGAACATTCTCGATTCTCGTTGATGCTCTGGAGTCAAACAGAACCAAGTTAAAACTGTACCTTAGCCTCTCACTGATTTGTACCCTTGGGATATTAACTCTCAGAACCTCAGCTGTCCAATATGCAAAAGGGAAATAATCTTACTGATCTCCACCATCGTGATGGGTATAAAAAGATATATAACATCTATTGGCAGAGATTGCGGTGTATGTATCGGGTGTCTAACCACCACTTGCCCCTTTAATTCTCTATTCTCTCTCCTTTTCCTTTACCTATGGTCAACATCTAACTTCAATTATCCATAGATTCTGTTCTTTCCCCGGAACCTGTGCTAGTCAGGAACATGACTGGGGCTTCAGCCCCGTGTGAATGGTGGCAGTGTTTTCTGACCCAAAATCCAGGAATCCATATGGATGATCTGGCAAGGGCAAGTGAGTTGGGACATGCGAAGTGCGAATTGCTTTGGGATGTTCGGGGCACGTAGTTGGCCTTATATGTGTGAAAGCCTTTTCTGCAAGTCTCCTCCCCTTTCCTCTACATCACTGCCTAAAAATAATGTCACACATAAATTCACTGAGCAAGTATTTAATGAGTAGAAAAGACAAACAAAGACTGAAATGGATTGTTTGGAAGATAAGTTACACTTGCAAATGGCCATAAACAAAAGCTTTCTTCTAAGCTTCTCATTTTGCAAAAGCTATTTAGTTTGTTGGCCAGGTCCTGGGATGGTGTACTCATCAGTAATCAATAAATGGGAAAGTTTTCATCAGACCCTGTCTTTCATGCAGTCTAGGAAAAAGGGGCAGGAGTTGAGAGATGGAGGAAGGTGGAACTGTAGTTTCCAGAGCAGCTCTTAATTGTGTCCTGTTTAGAAGCAATTAGATGCCCTTAATCCTCAAATATATGGGTACTTGAAGCACTGCCACTTGGACTAAGTGAGCTCTATGAGGGAAAAGTTGTATCTGCCTTGTACCGCAAAGTAGGTGGTCAATTAAGATTTGTTGAATGAGTGGCCTAAAAACTAGTCCACCCAAGATAAATAAACATATATCCACACAAAGACTTATAGGTGAATGTTCATAGCAGCATTCTTCATAGCAGCCCCAAACTGGAAGCAATCTAGATGTCCATCAATAGATGAATGGATAAGCCAAATTTGGTATATCCATACAATGGAATTCTCTTCAGGCATCAAAAGAATGAACCGCTGACACATGCTACAACATGGATAAACCCCAAAGACATGATGTTAAATGAAAGAAGTCAGATGTGAAAGTCCGTATATGTATATGAAATGTTCAGGATATGCAAATTATTATAGAGACAGAAAACACATTCATGGTTGCCTAGGGTTGAGGGTGGGAACAGGGAGAACTTCAAATGGGCACAAGAACTCATTTCGGCATGATAGAAATGTTCCAAAACGATGCTATGGTAATGGTTTCACAAATCAAATTTGCTAAAACTTACTGAGTCGTGTTGTTAACTGAATTTTATACTATGAGAATTATATCTCAATAAAGCTGTAAACAACTAAAATAACTCTATAGACCTTACTGAGATAGATGTCAGTTGCGAGGCATCATCTCCCATTTCCTGTGCAATTCTACCTCCTTTGCGTTAGAAAGGCTTGGTTCACACGAGCCAGCTGGTGGTCTTTGATACCTGCTCTGGGTCCCTTACCCTAAAGAAAGGACTTGATAATGTGAATGACGAGTTAATGGGTGCAGCACACCAACATAACACATGTATACATATGTAACAAACCTGCACGTTGTGCACATGTACCCTAGAATTTAAAGTATAATAAAAATAAAATTAAAAAACAAAAATGAAAGAAAGGACTTGAGCACTTTCTAAGGGCAAACTCCCTGGAGACTTTTTCAGAAAGAAGTCAACAAGGGTCCACTTATTCTCGGGGAAGCTCATAAAAGAAACATTATTGATCTCTTGAAAGTTCAAAAGGGCCATTTTATGAGATGAGAATGAATGACTTTCCAATCTTTCTTACTTTTCATTGTAGAAGTGACTTACATTAAGAAAAAGAAAAAGCACCCAATTCATCATTTTCTCAGGCCTAAGCAGTGGACAGTTCATAGGACTAAGGGTGTGCTTTGGTACCCAAATGAGTTGGTAGCTAAACTAGACCTTCAGCTCACCCATTGTGACCTAGAGTTTCCTTCTGCTACGCAGACGTTGCCTCTAGGTACTACTTCTGTTTGACCAAAGAGTATGAATCCTTTCTCTCTTTGGTCACAAGCAAAAAGTGTGATTTTGCAGGTGGTGGGGTTTATGCAGTTTTAACAAATTGCCTGACAGCCCTCAGAACACTGAGACAGGGCTAAAATGGAAGCTCACACACAGGCATGGTTACATCTCACCATGCCATGGAGTATATAAAGTACACATGAGAACACTCCCCCTGCATTCGCGCGCGCGCACACACACACACGTGCTTAACGGAAGCAACTCAGGCAACAGGACTGGGATGAACCCACCTGTCCTCCAGCATTTATGGATGAATTAAGTAGCATAAACAGAATTTAGAGGTGACACAGCTTCAGGGAGATGCTTGAATCCACAATTACAGCATCTGTCAGCATAAGCATTGGGCTAGAGTGTATAATCTGCTTTGCATTGCTCCCAGAACTGCTGGCTAAAGTACAAGATTAGAATTTAAGGCACAAGATGATCATAAACAGAGGGATTGTTAGTGGGGAAGGGGTGTTGGAGAGTGAAGGTGAGGGTGACATAAGTAGTATTTCTAGTTGCATACCCATGGTCCCAGGAGCTGTGGCAGTAAACAGTGTGAGGCTAATTTTGGCATTGATTTCCTTGAGGCACTGCCTCTTTCAACTGTGATAAAGGCGTGAAATCAAACAAAGGCAACACTTGACCTGAAATTTTGGAGGTGGGGGGCAGAATTAAACAGAAATTTCCTACACTTAGAAGATTTGAAAGGCTTCTGAAAAGAGATACAGCCTTCCTCATTGTAACTCCTTCTGTCTGAAATCTGTTTGAGCATCAGTAAGCCAGAGCATCAGTAAGCCAGTTCGTGGAAAATGACCCTGGAAATGATGTGAAGTGTGGGGTGCACTTCCAATAGTAGAAAATAAATGCATCTGCTAAGCAAAATTGTTGTGTCACTCTACATTTGTTCTTCAACTAACTGTATTACTTTGTTATGGATGTTGTGGTTTGCACTTTCCTAATAAAGTAGGATCAGTCAACATCTGAGTTTGCTCCAGTCCCTTCAGCAAACCTAGCAGTTTCTCCTGTGGCATGTCTAACCAAAGCAAGATGAGGCATTGCAGAGTGACGAGGTGGCAGTGAGTTTCAGTTCTCACCACCATCCTCACTGCCCCTGGTCAGGTCATGGGTATTCCTGACCCTGAATTTTGCTCCTATTTTTTACTTTTATGTTCTATCCTCCAAGGCCCAGGCCAACCACCTGCCTCTTCTGATTCTTTTCACTATTATCACAATGCACACTGACCACACTCTCTGCAGAATTCCTGTTATATAGTCCGAATCTCTATTTTACACGTAATTGTTCTGTAATTCCTTCATGGATCTTTCGTCACTCTGACATAGACAGTCCATTCCTGAAGAATGGTAATCATGCTTTACGCTTATTTATAGACCACCCAAAGCTCTTGGCACAGGGCACATGTTTCACAGCAATTTCCTGTCTGATTGAAAGGCTCTGAGGATGCATTGCACTGCACATAGGCCTGTGAGATGTAAAAAGTGCATGCTGTTCATTTTAAGTTAGGTTAAATAAATGAAAGATAAAAACACAGTGTGATCCCAATTTTTCAGTTTGGGTGTGTGAATGGGTTTGTGTGTTCATCTGTGCTAGGGGCACAGTTCTGCTGAGAGGGGTGTGTGTATGTGTGTGTGTTGCACAGACACAAAAGACTGGGAAAATGTGGCAAATGTCAATTGTGGTATCTCTGGGTGCTAACATCATTAAAAATTGCTTTTTCTTTTTACTATTTAGCAATTTTGTGATGTATGTATAAAGAATACTTTTTATTTATATGAGGTATGATGTGTTTAGCAGTATGAAGAATGAGGTAATGAAACTGATAAGTGATTATTATTATAAAAGACGCAGTATAGTGAAGTGGGAGGTTTGCAATGAATTGGGTTTGGTTGTCTATTATTCTTAATGGGTATATTCCAGTGTTTCCCAAAGTGTATTCCAGAGTACAGTAGTCCCTACCACAGGTGTTACAATTTAAATAATATGGGAAGCAGCCTCCTGGAAATTCACAATATCCATTGGCCCTGAATATTCCTACAGCAAAGGAATCTGTCTGTTCTACTTGGTGTTTTCCAAATCTATCCAAGCGTGGAATCTTTTTTCCTTATAACGCCTGTTAACTGCATTACATTTTGTAAAACGTTGTTCTATTTATAGTGTGGTTATTTTCGAATAACAGAGTAGTGAGTTTAGTTCTAAGTGTCTTAATTTTGTTTGTATTTTGTTCGTATTCCTTTGGTTTGAGGATCCAGAGGTTACGAAGTTAGAGAACAACTTCTTTAATCCAAATCCATAGAAACAGTGTAGCAATACCAAATTACATGATTTGATGTTTTTCTCCTTCATTGTAAAAGCCATGCAGCCTCACTGCCTAGTTTGCTACGTTTTAAAGCTTAATTTGCTATAATGAAAACATTCAATGAAGAAACATGCTGTGAGCTGAATTTATTCAGCCTCTTTTGGAGTTCATTCTTTCACTGGAAGTTATTACCGTGAAACTGCATTTTATTTTTGTGAACTTTTTTTTCATCTCTACAATCATCTTTTCAGGATGAGTTTTTGACAGTGATGCCAATAGTGACAAACCCCTCTAACCTCCAACACACCTTGCAAATTATCCCGATAATGAACAGCTGCAGATGCTAATTCAAAATGACAGGTAATCCGTGTGTAAATTGAAATGTGCATGCTTCTGTCTGAAACTGCAATTGCATTAAGTTGTGGGAATTCACCGTGAGGAACATCAAGAGATCCTGGTAGGAGGGCATAAGCACACAGATCCCCAAAAAGGCTGGCAATCAATCTTCCTTTTTGTCCTCCACATCTTTCTGCCTTGCAGCCCATGCAGGAACAGATAGCTTGTCAGAAGCTCAGAGGGTGGCAAGACACTTGGTTTTCCAGGGACTTTCCAACTTGGATATGTGAGCACATGAAAAGTAAGAGAAGGACGGAGGTTATTCATAAAGCAAGTAATGAAGCACAATAGGGACAGTGCGAAACAGAATTTGACCCAATAAAGTACATTATCTCTGACTAGCCATGTAATGCTTCGGTTTATCTTTGGCTGAAACAGATACAGCACAGCCGGTGCTTAACGATATTAAACACCTGAAAACTAGGTTACATTTAATCACAATTTTGCCTCATAGACTCATAATGCTTCAGAAAGTATGATATACAAAACTCAGTTTGTTATTAAAATTATTTTAATTAAGTTTAAACAATGTAGAGAAAGCACATTTGACCCCAATATATTCAGGACTCTTTTCCTCCCCTAGAGTGAAAATGGCCTCTTAGCACTAGTGTGCCTCCATTCAGCTCGGTGCCAGGAACAACATCATTATAAAAGGCAGGTACACTGCCTTCTGGAAATTTGCATCCATCCGTAGTTACACCCGACACAGGCTACAGCTTTGTTTAAATTTCCAGCTGACTGACACGCACACAATCGTGAATGAAAAAGCAAACAGTGGAAAATAACGCCTTTTCACTTTCTTCTGGTCTGCGAAAGCAACACTGCGGCAGAGCCAAACTTTGGGCTGCAGCCTGCTTTCCAGAAATCACATAGCTCTAGAATGGAGTGTCTGTGGCCTTTCACACACCAGCTGCCAGAGGTTGTGGTTTTTAAGTAAAGCTTCGAAGTGGGACTGGAGGCTATCAGCAGGAAGCCAGTTAAAGCAGATAGAAAAGTAAGAGTGGCGAACTCTATTTTTGCCGTACATACAAAATAAGAGGAGAGAGTCTCGGCCAACTGTGCCTTTAAGTAACAGACCACCTCTGTCAAGGTACTGGGATCTTTTAGAGGTCAAGACCTCGCCCTGTAGGAATCTCCAGCCCCCGGTACTGCCCCGCACCCAGGAGCACGTGAGTACTCGTCAACTGCCATAACTGAGAGTGGAGGTATTTCAGCCGCTCTGTGTGTTCTGGAGAAGTGTTTCCCAAAGCACGCAGATCACCTGAGGAATGCAGGTTCTGATCTGGGGGCCTGGGGTGAGCCCTGAAATTCTGCATTTCCAACAAGTTCCGGGGACGGACTGGGGAGGGTGCTGACGCTGCCCGGCCCACGGACCACACTTGGAGAGTGGAGGTTCTGGAGAATAGGAAAACCTGTGTAAACGTTTTCTATTGCAGCTTGGTGTCACACAGCCGTCCTAGAAGCCGCCCCTGCGCCCGCTATCTCCCGTGGCCCCCAGGTAGCTGGCGGTCACAATGGCTGCAGGGCAGCGCCCTGCTAAGTGCAGGGGTGAAGGTCTGCAGGCCCTGCTAACCACGCCCTTCTCTTCCCCAGGGGAGGAGCGCCCCCGGGACTCCCCGGGCCCGGCGGAGGCCCAGGCGCCGGCCGGGGTGGAGACCGGCGGGAGAGCGAGCCGCCGCTGCTGGACGTGCTCCCGGGCGCAGCTCAAGAAGATCTTCTGGGGCGTGGCGGTCGTGCTGTGCGTGTGCTCCTCGTGGGCGGGCTCCACGCAGCTCGCCAAGCTGACCTTCAGGAAGTTCGACGCGCCCTTCACCCTCACGTGGTTTGCCACCAACTGGAACTTTTTATTCTTCCCGTTGTACTACGTGGGGCACGTCTGCAAGTCCACAGAGAAGCAGTCTGTGAAGCAGAGATACAGGTAAGCGCGTCCTGCATGAGGAGGCCTCCTGACCCGGGGCTGCTCCATCCAGCGCTGACTCTGCAGAGCTGCCCCTGGTGGCAGGCGCTGGGATGAGCCAGTGGGAGCCGGTGGAGAGATGTCGCAGTGAATGCACCTGCTCTCTGAGAGGGGTGGGGAGCCGAATTCTCTCTACCCTGGGTAGTGAACGCCTCCTTCCTCTGCCTCTCTGCCTCCTGCCCTTCAGCCCTGGGACCCCCTTTATATAAAAGCAGGCAGCGGTGTCTTCCAGAGACAGCAAGTAGTAGGTTCCCAGAAAGCTTAGAAATGGGAGAACTGTAGCGCAGTTCATCCCTCAGCAAGCTGGGGTGAGGACCGCAAGGCCATGGGGCCAGGTCACTCGGACGCTTCCTGTAGCTAACTTTCCTCACGGAGATGCTGCAGAGACTTCCTTACTCATCCTCTTTCTGATCCCAAGACATGCCCTGCTTCGGGTATGTAATTGCATGGGTCTGAATATCTCCCAGTGTGATGGTAAAAACCAAAGCAGTGTCTGGACTTTGTTGACTCTGTTTTCTCAAATGGAGTCCATTGGAATGACGTCCCTTTCAAAAAGAGGCCAGAAACCCTGACCTCAGCCTCTACCTCAGTATGCAGGAGGGGGAGTCACATTGTCGGTGTTGACCCATGGCGCTCATCTGTGCCTATAAGAGCATCTGGTGTTTCCCCAAAGTGGAGGCCTTCTGTGGGCCATGTCAAGGGCTGTCCTAAATCAGGCCTAGTCAAAAAAAAACAAAAAAACACAGAAATGAATGCTGGCCAAGGTGACACAGCAGGCCCTGGAAACTCATCTTTTTTCAGTCCCAGAGGTGAGGAGAAATTGAGCATTTAAGAGTCTTCATTCCTTCACCACTGCCTTCGTCCCCACCACACCCCACTCTGCCAAACACATACCCCCATAAGATTGCTATGTCCTGAAGTTCCCCTTAGAAGATACAAGATAACTAAAAACATCATTGGGTCCAAGGAACAAAGAGGTTTGGAAATGGAGGTCTACACCTGGACCAGAATTTCTTTCTGGGAATCTACCATTTTGTCCCTGTAAACGTGTAGCTGGAAGTATGGTGTGATACTTTTTTAATGTTCAGAGGGAATTTGGCCTGGCTCCTTTAAAAGACCTACTTATAAATCACAGCATGAATTCTGGAGGAGGGGGCTCTGATGGAGCTTGACTAGAATCACATGGCCAGTCTCACAGGTCCCCTTAGTGAAACGGCTTTGGTGCAAAGAATTCTGATCCTCAGGGTTGACCTAACCCAGTGGCTCATGGACCAGCCAGAAATTGCTAAAGAGGCACTTAATGCACCCTCTTCTGAATAGAAGCCAAAAACAGAAGGAAACAAATCATTAGGGCCCAAGATTGTCCCAAAGGCAAGAGTAAAATAGTCCCAGAGAAAAGCTAATATTTAGTAAATGATGTATTTAACAGTTAAGTATCCCTACGTGTATTTAATTTGTAATTAGGCATTTGCCTTTCATTAAAACTGATTAGGATGCTATGCTACTGCCTCTAATGAAATGCTAAAAGTGAGCTTATATGCACTTTCTTGATCAAGAATTTTTGGGAGGGAAGATGAAATGCTTCTTTCCTGCTACCTTCAACCATACAGGCTGAAAGAGGCCCCCACAAGTGGTAACACTGGCTGTTGTCCCAAATGCACTCCATGGCTACCACTTACCTGGGGAGAAGACTGTCACCGCCAGCCACTTAGGGTAGGCCTGGCACCATTAAACTATTGTACTGAAAACCACACAGAAGGAATCAAGATCAGTGGTGCTTATGTGGTCAAAGTAGGAAAAAATGAAAGGTCATTGAAGATTAGTTATACATAGAAAAACATCAGCACCTTGGTTTCAACCTATTGTCTTCCCATAAAAAGTGCTCAAAAAGAACCATTAAAACAATCTGGTGACTGCCCTGTTAACTGGCGAACAATGTAAAAGAGGGAGGATAACCCCAACTTTATTAGTGAAACTTGTTAAAACCTTTCCCAATTTCTCTCTTCACATTCTGCTCCAGCTCTTTAAAAAAGTTGTTTTTTTGTTTTGGTTTTTGGTTTTTGTTTGTTTCTGATTGTAAACTGTGTTAGCCCCGTGGCTAGGCAGAGCTGCTAATTTACCAGCCAATTATTAAGCGTGTCAATCAAGCCATATACACCATTGGAGGGGTGAAGAGAGATCCTTCCTCAAAAGGAGAGAAACATTTTAACATTGCAGACCTTCCTTAGGAAATCACAACTCTGTCACAGCTCATATTGGGAGTACTTTAAACAGACTTTAGGATTCTCAGAGATCAAGGAAGACTGAAATCACATCTTTCATCTTCATGCTTTTATCAAAATTATTGCCAGAGAGATTTTGAGTTGTCTGAGATGAGTCTGTTGGCTAAAAGTGTTCAGCAGGGAGCTGGGAAGAAAAGGAGATGAACAGAGACCTGTTCCACCGAGAGGGGAGCTGGACAGATACAGCAGCTTCTCTTGCAGTTATCAGGAGGCAATCAGATGGAAGCTTCTTTTCTCTAAACCCTCCCCAACTGAGCTGTTTCCCCAGGGTGAATTCAGAGCGGAGAGAGGAAGGCATGTGTTCCCCAGCACAGAGCTCCGCAAACTGCAACGCCCTGTGAGGCTCCCTAGGGTCTTGTTGAAGGCAGACTCTGATTCAGTAGGTCTGGGTGGATCTGAGATTCCACTTTTCTTAGGAACTTCCAGGGAATCCTAGTGCTGCTGGCCCACGGGCTGCACTTTAACTGTAAATGCCCTGGAGTTGTTGAGTCCCAGCTACAGATTTTTTTTTAATGCTGCTGATTTTACCAAATGTTAGAACTAGGACTCACCTCACCATGTAGAACTGATGAGTGAATCCACTGGGCCCCAGAGGATGTTTGAGCTCTGGTCCTCTTCGAGCCCTGGTCTTCTGCCACTCATGACAGGAGGCTCCGTGGTCAAGTCCTCAAAGCTCTCAGAGCCTCAGATGCCCATTTGTAACTGGGAGGTGATGATATATGCACTGTCTTGCACAAAAGACTGCTGTGTGATCAAATGACACGCTGTACATGAAAGCGCCCTATAAACTGTAACATGTTGTGTAAATGCGAGGAATCAGTACTGTGTTGTGATAGCCTCTGCGGGTTATACTGAAGGCTGTTGCCCGTGCTTTGTTCATTGGCTACCTCATGGTGGCCAATTTAAACTACAAGAGTGTCAACCCTTACGCTGCATGCAAGTGTCAGTCCTGAAGAAATCAACTTGTGGCCCTAGTGGCTTCACAGGGCATAAAAGAACACTGATCACTGATCAGGGCTTCTCATGACCAGATACTGTTGTCAGGAATTAGACGTGAATGGGCAAACCTCATATGGGTTTTCAGCCCCTGCCTTATAGTCTTCCCAGCAAGCACTCAACCATCCAGGTGTACAATGAGCTGCTTCCTTCTCCAATATGATAGGCAGCCCAACCCTTATCTTCCCTGTTTCTCACTGAAGCTGGCCTCAGGGATGTTCTGAGGAAGCAATAGTGCCCAGAACTCAGAGAGGGCTTCAGTCATGAGATGCTGGCGGCTGCTTGGGAACCACAGTCTCCTGGACCACCTAGCATCTGGGGGAGGCACAGGGAGGTGGCTGTATCGGGTCTGTGTTTGGGAGAGACTGTTGAGCACAGGTGTGATGATACACAGCCTCCTGGCCCCTCTGACCCTGGAACAGGAATGCAGCTTTTCAGATCTGAGAGGTCAGCAGAGCTGGAGCAGATCTGGGGCGTTTTCATTCTTGTCCAAAGGTCTTCCAGGAATTTGCAGCAGTAATGACCTGTTTTCAAAAGCAAGTGCTGAGACCTTCTGCTATCACGCGGCTGCCAAAAAAAAGTGAACGGTGCAGTGGTGACAGATGTTTTTCTCTGCCTTTTGTAGTTCCAGGCTTTCTGTAAGCCAGCCAATTGATTCTGCTTCAGATATCTGAGCAACAGTAGAGTCCAGAAAGGGAAAAGGGCAGTTTAGATCCTTTCATCTTAAACCCTGCAAGGGCCGGCTGTGTGTACCTTGCCACCCAGACTTACGCAGGAACCATATCGGGTCTTGCAGCTGTAACATTCATTGGCCGTTTAAAATCTAAAGAGCAGAGTGGAGCAGTTGCAATCTGGAGCTTTGTTCTGAAAATAGTTACTGTGCATCTTCTCTAGGCAATGCACTAGAACTACAAGATAAATGGACTCTCTCCTCCAGGAGCCCAAAACCTGAAAGGGAGTCAGATAGCCAAACAGGGTGGGGGTGCATGCAAGGTAGCTGAGAGTGGGGGAAGGCCCAGATACATGTGTCCTGGGGCAGGGTACAAAAGTTTCTTAGAAGAAGTTAGGTAGGGCCTGGCGCTGTGGCTAATGTCTGTAATCCCAGCACTTTGGGGGCCTGAGGCGGGCAGATTGATTGAGCCCCAGAGTTCAAGACCAGCCTTGGCAACATGGCAAAACCGTCTCTACTAAAAATACAAAAATTAGCCAGGCGTGATGGTGCACCTGTAGTCCCAGCTACTCAGGGGACTAGGCAGGAGGATCACCTGAGCCTTGGGAGGTTGAGGCTGCAATAAGCAGTGATCAGGCCACTGCGCTCCAGCCTGGGTAACAGTGTGAGACCCTGTGTCCAAAAAAAATAATAATAAGTTAGCCAGAAACAATTTATTTAAGGACAAGCAGATGGTTCTCTAGGTGCTGAAGGAGAAGGTCAAGAATATTCTAAGCAGACAGTAGCCTGCATAAAGGACACAGGCTGGACACAGAACACAGAGCTCTTCCCAGGATGTAGGATGTAAGTGGGGTAAGGTGAGAGAGAAGACTCGGCAGTTAGGTGGAGCAGATGCTGGCGAGCCTCCTACGCTATGCTGAGGAGTTTCACTTCCGGTGTGAATATCAGCAGGAGTCATGGAAGCAGTGATCAGATTGGATCTTTCAAAATGCAGCTGCTGCCACTCTGTAGAA